GCTGCGCGACAAGTGGCGCAAGTTCGGGGCCGTCTCCTTCTACATCAGCGTGGTCTCCTACCTCTGCGCCATGGTCATCTTCACCCTCATCGCCTACTACCGCCCCATGGAAGGCCCCGTGAGTGCCACAGCACCGGGGCACAGCCCCATGGGGCCAGCACCTCCTGGCAGGGGGTTTTGCTGGGTCTCTGTCCCCAGCAGCCTGCCCTGGGGTGGTGGAGCAGCTCGGCTCTGTCCTCTCCCACAGCCCCCCTACCCGTACACCACCACCGTGGACTACCTGCGCCTGGCTGGGGAGATCATCACCCTTCTCACCGGCATCCTCTTCTTCTTCACAAACGTCAGTGCCGCGATGGCCGAGCCCTCGTGGTCTCCATGCAAGGAGCAACTTCAGGGCAACAGCCCCGTGTCCCAAGGCATCAGCCCCTACTGTGATGCCCCCCTAGACACCAGGACCCTGCCAAGCAGGGGCTTGCTCCCCCCTGGCCCCTCCAACCTCTCCTTCTCTCCCCAGATCAAAGATCTCTTCATGAAGAAGTGCCCGGGTGTGAACTCCTTCTTCATAGATGGCTCCTTCCAGTTGCTCTAGTACGTGGGGTACCCACGGGCTTGCAAGGGGCAGTAGCTGTTGGTGGCTGTTGGTTCAGGGTCTGACCCTGCTTCTCCTCCAGCTTCATCTACTCGGTGCTGGTGATCGTCACCGCGGGGCTGTACCTGGGTGGCATTGAGGCGTACCTGGCCGTCATGGTCTTCGCGCTGGTGCTGGGCTGGATGAACGCGCTGTACTTCACCCGGGGGCTCAAGCTGACGGGGACCTACAGCATCATGATCCAGAAGGTCTGGTGGGATTTGGGATTTGGGGTCTTCTCCTTCCTATGGATCAAAAAGAGGCTCCTCTGTGCTTTCTTGAGGGTTTCTCGTGGCTCTCAGCCCAGCCATCCATGCTGCATGCCTTGTCAATGGTGCCACATGTCTCACCCCACCCTCCATCACTTGCAGATCCTCTTCAAAGACCTTTTCCGCTTCCTCCTGGTCTACTTGCTCTTCATGATCGGATATGCGTCAGGTAGGTGGCTGGCTGGGG